CGATTGTTTGGGCATTATATTCGAGCAGCTCAGTACAGCCGATTTGATGAAGTTGTGTAAAATAAATGCAACAGTTGCCGATGCAGTTTCTGAGCGGGTAGTGCGAAAACACATGATCGATTTCGATGAATGGAATCAAATTTGGAGCACCGAACAAATTTTCGATATTTTCGGAGGATGGATCAAATTCATGTCGATTGGTGAACATAATATTAACCATGAAGTATTAGCCAAGGAGTCATCACCGTTAGAATACTTTTTGGAATTATTGCTTAAAAATTGTGAGTCGCATTGGATTCAAGCAATTTCAATGCGTTTCAGCGATTGTGAAGTGAATGCTGAACTATTAAACGCATCAAAGCCATTCTTCGCTGAACTACGCACACTACATTATTCATCGATTGGACATCAAAAAGGTTCCGGTGTCGATCAGCTTTTGACGATAATCACAGATGCAGCCAACAAACTGGAATCTATTCACCTGCAGAATACACATACTAAAGGCACCTGGCTAGGAAGCGCCCACGCGATCAATATCAAGAATATGGCATTAGTTGATTCATCAATATCTGAGGAAGAGAATTGGGACGCATACTTCACACAAAAATCAGCACTCAAAACATTTTCATGGATCAATACGAACACTCCCAACGATAAGCTCTGCGAAAATATTGCACAACATTGTCCGCATTTAGAGCAATTTATTGACATTCAACGTGCAGTTACGGAGGAGTATTTAGAAGAAAATTTAAATCGATACAATTATTTGGCATCCGTTGAAAATCTTAAATGCGCACGAATCACATCCTATATGAGAAGCGGACAGGACTTGATAAATTTCTATGCTGATGCCGCACGGAAAAATACATTGGAACATTTATGTATCACGTTTTTAGAGAACGCTCGTTCAAGAATTAACGCCAATGCTGAAGATTATGCGCATTTTAATGACAGATATCCACATTTTACGAGCTTGACCCATTTGGAGATTATAAATAATTCTTCGTGCATGAATTGGAGTGAAATATTCGTGAGTTTTATATCCGATTTGGTTAGTTTACGTGAAATTTGCATTTCGGGTGATGAAGAACTAAATCCAGCGCAAATCTTACTAATAGCAATGGCTGCACCGAATTTAAGCATTTTACGGATGAACGGCGTTCCCATCATCAAGCTGGGTATGGCATTGTCAGCAGCTGGAAGAATTCGAGAAACACCTATCACTGTCATCATCAACAGACAACAAGTATCTCAATTACAAGGACGTGAGATTAGCGATCGTATCAAAATTATAGTTGAATAAAATATTTTCTTAATTAAGTTGTAATTCAGATAAATGATTTAGACTGTATAGATTTTAGACTAAGCTTTTGTACTTTCTTTTCAAATAAATACAATAAAATGTAATCGAAATAGGTAACAATATAATGTTTTTTTCCTAAGGCCACTAAAGTGGCAGTTTTGTGCTAAAATTGTAATGGATATTTCAAAAAATAAAATCTCAAATTAAGACGACAAAAAAAAACAATATGATTTTCGTTTTTGTTTTTAATTATTACACTGAATAAAATGATTTAAAATAGTTGTTCATTGTTTGTAATTTATTTGAAGACTTCAGACCACATTTTTCATTAAAAAGGATTTAAATTTTTAACGTGGTATCGAGATAAATTTACCACATGAACATGATTAAATTTGATCCATTTTCTCGTGGCAGTTTAATTATTTTCATATTAGAATCATTGTTTGCTTCATTAACTGGAAGATGTCTTATCAATGTTTCTATTGCATTATTAATCTGATCATTCGGTTCAATGTCAAATTTTGAAACTATTTTTTGCTGTTCATATTTATCTGTTGAATCACAAGCGACTCCACGAATGTTTGTTTTGTGGATGTTCAATGGCATTCTATCCACGGGAAGTCGAATATTCTCCCAATCGATACTCCGCATAAAGTGCTTCAAGTACGTACAATTGAAATTGTTGTTGGTAATACCAAGCGCATTAAGCCGTGGAAATAGGGAGTTTGTGAATCCTTCCATATCGGACAATTGATTTCCATCGAGGTAAAGTGATTCCATGTACCTAAATGCTGGAAGGAATAGACCAAAATCCAAACTCTTTAAACTATTCTCTGACAAATCGAGTGAAATTAAACCCCTTGAATATGAAAAGGTGCCCAATTCAATATCGGTTAAATTTGCGTGTCCCAAATCCAAATGCTCTAGCTTGATAAGCTTGGCAAATGTTCCAATTCCCAGTTCGTTGATGGGATTATGTGATAAGTCCAAATGTAAAAGATTATAAAGATTATCAAAAATTTGTTCGTCCGATATGTTATTGTGCGATAGATCCAATCTCGATAGACTATGCGCTGTGGCAAATGCATACGGTTTAATTTGATAGATTTGATTGTATGACAACTGAAGCCAACTCAATCGAGACAAATTTGCAAATGTTTTGTCTTCCAAAATTGAAATGAAATTTTGAGATAGATCCAAATGATGAAGCCTTTCTAAACCGACAAATGCAAATGAGTGGATTTCGCTTATATTATTCTGAGCCAAATTCATGTGCGTCAAATTCGCTAGCCCAATGAATGCACGTTCATTCACCATTTCGATTTGATTTTCCGATAGATCCAGAATTTCCAATTCATTTGCACCAATGAAACTTTGTGGATCAATCCGTTTGATGTCATTGTGTGATAAATCGAATCGAATTATGCTTCCAGCATTGGCAAATAGAAACGCGGGCATTTCTTTGATGTGGTTTTTTGCAGCAAATAACTCCCACGGACGTTTTGATCCAATCAAATGTTCGGGTTGCAGCGAACCCAATCCAAGACTCGATATATCCAAAAGTCGAAGATAAGGATAAAATTTGAAGATATTATGTGGAATGTGATGCAATTTACAGCCATTGAAACGAATTGCATCGATCATAAGCTTATGCTGATACCGTTGAATAGTATGATCTTTGTTAAAACACTCAACACCATCCAAATCGTTAAAATAATAACTTTTTCGATTTTCATCTCTCCGGTTTGCATCGATGTCATTCGTTGTTTCATTACAATTGAATATGACACCAATATCGAAATCATACCGTTGATACCATTGACAGTAGGTTATATAAGCACTATTTTCTGCACGCAACAGTAATACTTTTGTATTCATCAAAACAATTAGTAAAAAAAATGTCTTTATTTCGATGAACATTTTCATTTTATTCTTGAAATAGAATTGAAATAAACAACTGTATTCTCGTAAAGCGCACTATTTAATGATCTGATTCATTTTAACTTGAATAATTGAATTAGATGTAGGCATTGTGATATGCCTTATCACATTTACAACATGCAAGGATGTGAACTTCAAATTATATTTATATTGTAATCATTTTGCGATTTTGCAATCATGTGAGCAATTTAATATAGGAAATGCTAATCGCACAAACTATATTTGACCGTCAATTAAATAACGCCATTTATAAAGGGAATTCGATAGAATGAAATGATCGAATCTAAAATGTGCATATATTACAATATTTCGTATACAGAAGAATGAAAACACAGGGAACCATTTATTTCTCCGTTATCCATAGATTCTCACTATTCAGTGTTTTTCTATTATTTGGAGGTTTTTAAATGTCTTTTTTCATAACACTCATATATGACACTATATATTGTGACCAACGACTTACCGCACTTGTTATTTGGAGTTTCCATTATAGAGAGGTTTTTTTGTAAGTATGTTTCGATATTATAATTAAGACGACTAGATAAACAAAGATTCTTGATATTTATTGATTAGTCTGATTATTTTTGTCATTTTCCGTATTTTATTCAAACCCTCTTCTTAAACAATTCCATAATTTGTATAAATTAAATAGAAACGAATATTTTATTTTACAAAATTAAAATAAAGATTTCAAGACACAAAATAAGCAGCTCCGATTTTCCATTATTTTGTGTAGCAAATTAATTTAAACCATTAACTTCAATATGTTTGCACGATGGAGTAAATTCGATGGAGCCGGTTGATGTTAATAAAAGATGTCTATATACATGTTTCCCTATATGATATAAATGAATACAAATACAAAGCAAATGAAAATGTCTAATGAAAGCCATAGTGTGAGCCGCGTTGAAAATGTGACTGTTTTCATTCAGGAGAAAGTCAAATAAAAGGGAAATTGCTTCAACAGCTGTGTATTTTGGTTCCATTCCAACGGACGATTACGTCATAAATTTACTCTCTTCTCTATTTCCATTGAATATGTATTACGCGATTATCATTCTCTCCGTAAGAGCGTACAGCGTACACGTTGCGTACTGTACACAGCTGTAAACGAACAACGAACAACAACTTTACTTTAAAAAACATATAAGCGAATCGAAATCAGATGTCAGTTCTCAGTTTCGGTTCAGTCGCCGCTCCGTTTAGTACAGAAGAAACTAGAGGTATGTTTTTGCCCAGCACTCAATCACTCAATATACAACTCAAATAATCAGAATCTTAAATCATGCTGTTTTTGTGTGCGTGTGTATTTGCTCTGTGTGTCAGTCTTAATTAAAAATAGTTTTTTTGACTTTTCGTACATATTGTGTTTTCACTGTTTCGAACACGTTGACCGAGTGCTCCAGTCGGTGACAAAATTTCGACAGCGAATCTTCCGAAATAATGTTCAATTCATTGTGTTAGTTTATGTTTACATTAAATATTTCAATTTTGTTCGAAATTACTCAATTATATTGACAATTGACAGATGAACCGGAGTGTGAGTATGAGACGAATGATTGGATTGATGTAACAGCTGCGTGTGCAATTTTATTAATAATGTTCAACGTTCAAAACGATTGTGTTATCGTGTCAGAAAAACGTCATTTCAAATGACCCAAAAATAAATAAATTTAATCGATTTCATGCCGGCCATCGTCTATCTACTTTTGCATTAAATTTGAAAATTATTCTCTCTGAAATATGAATTGAAATCAATGGAAGTCGTCAGAAAATTGACATTATCAATTCACTATGAAAATATTTTTTTTTATTCGTCATTTACCAATTGCAATGCAGCAAAATTTTATTGAAGAAAAAATACACAAATAAAATACACGCATAAAACATTTATTCATAATTTTTAAATTATTCAACGATTCGAATCGATGAACGGCTGTATATTTTCAAAAGAAAGAATACATTTAGAATACGGAAAGTGTGTGCGAATTTGAATTGTGTATATTATGCGTCTATATGTAAAATGTAAATCGACAGAGAAAACGTTGTCATTGCATGAAAGTTATTAGATTGTCGATCATGCGTTCTAGGTCATCAGACGGGCCAATCATGTAATTCATAAATGCATGATTATATTACTTAGAACACAGCAATAGACCTCATATACGACTGACTAAGAAGCGAAACGTGTTTTTCAGATGCGTTACACAACATCGAACCATTCCGAGATAAGGCACGAATGGAACAATTTTTTTTACAAATCTGTTGAACAGAATTTTTGGATAATTTTATGAAAATAAGGCGCAATTTTTGTCGTCGTCATCGCAGAGAACATGTACTGAACGTTTTTTTGTACAAATAAACCAATTTTTGACAAAAGAAATTCAACTTCAGCTGCCAAGTGATGTCAGAAAAAGAAGCCATAATGATTCAAACGTGCAATTATTCGAACATTTGCTCTAATTTATTTACTGTGAAAAGAATATGCAGGAATATTTTAGAATGTCAGTGTAAAGAAAATGCATTGCGAAGCAACTAAAAATGGAGTGAGAACAAATTAACAAATATAAAATCGATTGAATTGTCCTTCAAAAGGGCTATAAATCATTAATTTGTAAATGTATCTCAAGATTTTTTTTTTAATTAAAAAAACAATCAAATTAGCAACTACAGTTTCATATGTTAACACTTCAATACGTGTGAACGAACTTGCGATAAGAAATTGTAATCGATTCAATCCTTGAAAGACTCAAAGGATATCATAACAATGATATTACTCAATCGTTATAGCGATGCACTTGATATTCCATAACCATAGAATATTTGGTTCACATTGCGTGACACTGTTGTCCATAAGTGAAGTTAGGTGAATGACCTTGAAAACATACATTTTCGATGTGCCTATGTTTCGGTGCCACATTTTTGGTTCTGCGCAAAATATAATCTCACCAAACAACATTTAAAAAGGAGAGATAGAGTGCTAGCGCATGTGGAGAAAAATAACACATATGCTGCCGTACGAAAAAAAGGGGAAAACAAATATTTGCGATGCAAAAAAAGTGTATCATGCGACAAAAGAACTTGGAATTTTTTTCAAAATATCGAACAAATTCAAAAGTGAAGAAAATTCTCTGTCTACGAATATTATCAAAATGGTTTTATTTTAGGACAGTAAAAATTGGAATCGTAAAACAATTTATTTCTTCACGTTTTTAATTTGGGTATCGTAAAAAAATCAAATTATTAAAAAAATCATAAAATGTTCGTTTAATTTTGGTTTGATTTTGTTTGTTTTATTCAAATGCTGATTAGATTATTCTGCCGGTTATGCTTACAATAACACGTTGCTTTAGCGTTTTGGTGTAAGTTGCCGCAAACACATTTAATTGTTTCAAAAACATGTTAATAGTATGAAAAATGCGATCATTTAGTACGGCAAAAACGCGAAACACATGCGCAAGCTGGAGCCGCAACGAAATTGATAAATAAAGTCAATTCAAAGTAAATACATATCGCAAAGCAGCAAAATGCGGTGTCTCAATGATAATTGAAGGTGAACATTGATCACCAAAAATGTGTGTGTGTGTGTGTGTGTTTTTTTTTTCGTACAATTCGTTCACGGTGACTTTTGTTTTGTTTATATCGTCTTTTTTCTTTTATTTCATTTTCGCGTCTCTTGTCTGTTGTTATTCCAGTAGTATCATACAGTCTGTAACATCACTATGTTTATCGATATTCCTAACCAACGCTTCTGATTCATTCAATTTGAAAAATTTCTCGCATTAGAAAAAAAAAATCGTCTTAAGATGAACAAATGTAAGAATTAGTTTTCATTAAGATAAATGACTCTTATGCGTCTGGTTTGGGTCGTAACCGGTTTTAAGAGAGATTGTTTAAATGAACAGCATAAAATAGAAACGATTCAAATGTTTCTTTTTTGTTGTTGAAATGAATTCGTTTGTATTCACGTGATGTTAAAAACATGTTCACACTTTTTTTATTTACTTTTCTTTATCCTCTTCAGTCAGACGTTTGATAAAAGATTGTAGGCTTTTGTAAACAAAAATGATATTTCAAAATGGTAAAAATCATGCGTTCTTTTTCGTATTATATCGTGAGCTACGATTAGCAAATTTTTTTAATTACTTTTTGTGTCAAGGAAACACTGTCGCGTTTTTTTTCTCTTTCAAAAAGTATCATTGATCGTTTTTTTTTTCGTTTTTAATATGCACAAATGATGGCGGCTTTATAGAGTTTACACTTCTGAGAGCTGCTAAATGAAATTAAGCAAAAACGGTAATTAACGCATATGGTTGCAAAGTAGCTAGGTGAAAATCCAATCGATCAATTTTTTTTAGATACAAACATATTCATTGCACAAGGTTTTTGTGAGTTCGTTCACACCGGAGATTGAAGCCAATACAAGTGATAATATCAAAAAAATTCTATAATGTTTGGAAACCGGTTTTACCTTTCTAAAAAACATAGAACAATTTTTTTACTTAATTGTTTTGAATTGAAAATAGCGTGGCGCATAGCACTTTGGTGTCAAAAGCGAAATATTAGTTATGAATTATGTAAAATATATTACTTGTATAAAAAGTGATGATGAATCAAATTTCCTTGTTGATAATATTTGTGAACATCTCTTTAGTATTGACATTGCTTGCTTCAATGCTCTTTATCAACATGCTGAATGGTTTGTGTGTGAGCAAACCAAAATTAAGTAAGTGAAGCCATTTAATCAAAATCATGTGTGTGCATTCAATTACGAGCATGAAATCACTCTATAGAGCTTCAAATAATGCTTGGCACCAAACGATTCGATTTGAATAAATGTCACTTTTTATTGATAAATTGGGGGCTGTAATACGCACGTGATGTGATGTCATATGAGTTGACATCGAATCAAATTTCTCAATCTCTTCTGCCAACCTTCATTTTTTTTAAGGAATAGATTTTAGGGGAAGGTTATCAAACTTATCTTTAAATGCAATGTCGTGAAAATGGTCACATGAATGGTAAATTGAATTTAGATTTTGCAATCGTGGAAATTTTTTTTTTCGGAAGGATCATCTATGAAAAAGATAACCATAGGCATGCGTTAAACACGAACTTGACGACCGAATTTGTAAACAACGTACCAATATCGCGTGCTGTATCGAACTAACTGCATACGATCGTTTTAAAGTCCAGTCGTCAAGTACGTTGATTTTATTTATTCGTCTGCTATCACATCGTCTGTTCACAAGTTTTGTCGCCGCCTAACAAATCAGTCTCGTGAACGAATTGTGTAAATAGTCATAAATTTATGCAGTACGAAGTTGTACACATTCTTCTTTTTTGATTTCATAAGTTAATTATTTATATACTCTCTCTCTTTTTATGCAGTGTGAATGACTTGAATAATATTTATTATGTATTCTTATTTGGATTATATTTTATTGTGTATATTCTTTTACTGATGATTTATTTCGTATGTCTTTTGTTTGTTTCGTTTGGTATACAGGCACCAGGCAATTAAAAGAGAAATTTACTTACACACAACGCGAAAAGTTCAGTGAGCACACATTTGAAAAATGGTTGTTTGCGGCCAACAATATGGTTTAAAGGCGTTGCGCCAAGCACATTTACATCGATTCTGGTCGATTGGTACAAAACGCTATTCAACAAAACAAGTAAGTAGAATTTGTGCCGATCACATCATCATTCATTCTTTCTCTCTGTGTTCCGACCGCGTAAATATCATAATGTTATGTGATGCGTAAATTGCATTGATTCAAATCAAAAAGACACACAACGACGATGACACGATCTAAAAATAGCTACATTCATTTTCGCATTAATTACATTCGTGGGCAACCTTATCAAAACACCACCATGTAACGTGACTACGCGCGCGAACATTACGGATTGAATGAAAAGTCAGTTTTTCTCATCGAGCCGTTTTAAGTGTTCCACTTATTACTGTCGATTGCCTTGTTGTTCGATTCTTTATTTTTCTACGGAGTAAATAATAACAATAACAAGAATGAAGAATGAACGTTATTTGCTTGTGAAAAGAGATAGCTGTGGTCAAGAGCTTACTTTGTTTACTACATCAATACTAAAGGAAGTCGAAACAATTTCTTTTGGATGCGCTCTAATTAGCCGACCGAGCTTTCTCTAGTTGACGATATTTGTTTATTTTTTTTTATTGCTTTCGTTTCGTTACAATCGAAAAAAAAAAATTTCGTAATTTTTTCGAATGTATTTGTTTTTGGTTGTAAGTGATTGACGTCAAGTTGAAATTTATCTGTATAACGCTATTTCTTATTACAAGACTTCGACTTTGATCAACAAAAACAAATGTGATAACCTTGCCCGCGTCTCTATATGATTATTATTAAATCATATATTGTGTTCCAATAGTTTAATAGAGCGATACTTAATTCGAAATAAATAAAATGTATTTGGTACTATTTTTTCTTTCTTTCTAGGTTCAATACAAACCGATTCGTTCGGTGCTCGTGGCCAACAGGTACTTTATATCAATATCACGTTTATTCCAATGAAGCAAATAATCGGGTTTTCATTTTCTAAAAATACAGAGGAGAAATTGCAATTCGAGTGTTTCGAGCATGTAACGAATTGGGTATCAGGTCTGTGGCCATTTACAGTGAACAGGATAAAATGCTCATGCACAGACAGAAAGCTGATGAATCATACTTGGTGTGTATTTGATAAATTACTATTGTTATTGTACTTCAATTCAATTTGTTTCGTTTAATTGACGAAAAATCTGTTGGTATTTCGATAGGTTGGAAAAGGTTTGGCTCCAGTTGAAGCATATTTGAGCATTTCGGAAGTGATTCGTGTGTGCAAAGAGAACGATGTCGATGCAGTGCATCCAGGTTATGGTTTTCTATCGGAACGTAGTGATTTTGCCCAAGCAGTAATCGATGCAGGACTTCGATTCATTGGTCCATCACCATATGTTGTGCAACAAATGGGTGACAAAGTGGCCGCTAGAAAGGCAGCAATTGATGCTGGCGTTCCAATTGTCCCAGGTACCGATGCACCAGTGACAAGCGCAACAGAAGCCCTTGATTTTTGTAAACAATATGGTTTGCCCGTCATATTCAAAGCGGCTTATGGTGGTGGTGGTCGTGGTATGCGTGTCGTTCGTAAAATGGATGAAGTTGAAGAAATGTTCAATCGTGCAAGTTCTGAAGCTAAATCAGCCTTTGGAAATGGTGCTATGTTTATTGAAAAGTTTATTGAACGTCCACGGCATATTGAAGTACAATTGTTGGGAGATAAAGCCGGAAATGTGGTGCATTTGTATGAACGTGATTGTTCTGTACAACGTCGTCACCAGAAAGTCGTTGAAATTGCACCCGCTCCACGGTTGCCAATTGATGTACGAGATCGAATGACAGCGTGCGCCGTTAAGTTGGCCCAACATGTTGGCTATGAAAATGCCGGTACCGTTGAATTCTTGGCGGATGATAAAGGCAATTTCTACTTTATTGAAGTAAATGCTCGATTGCAAGTCGAACACACGGTTACAGAAGAGATAACTGGTATTGATTTAGTCCAATCACAAATTCGTGTTGCCGAAGGCATTACGTTGCCCGAAATGGGATACACACAAGATAAAATTCGAGTTGATGGTTATGCTATTCAATGTCGTGTCACCACTGAAGATCCTGCCAATGATTTCCAACCGAATACAGGTCGTTTAGAAGTGTTCCGTTCCGGTGAGGGTATGGGTATTCGTTTGGATGGTGCAAGTGCTTATGCTGGCGCCATAATTAGCCCATACTACGATTCGTTGTTAGTAAAAGTCATTTCACATGCAAACGATTTACAGGCATCAGCTGCCAAAATGAATCGTGCACTTCGTGAATTCCGTATTCGTGGTGTTAAAACCAACATTCCATTTTTACTTAACGTTTTGGAAAATCAAAAATTCTTGAACGGCGTTCTTGATACCTACTTCATCGATGAACATCCACAATTATTCAAATTCCAACAAACACAAAACAGAGGTACGTCGCACACATCAATGATGATTGGTTTACAATGGATAATTTTAATCAAAATTGTTTCGTTACAGCACAAAAATTACTCAACTACTTGGGACAAGTAAGTAAATGCAATTTATTTTAATGAAACAGCATATTAATTTATAAAAAAAAATTGATTTAGGTTCTAGTCAATGGAGCACAAACACCATTAGCAACATCATTAAAACCAGCTGATGTTGATCCACATGTTCCTGAGGTGCCATTGGGTAAAATTCAGTTTATTGATATTGCATGCTCATGCTCAAGCTTATTGGGTGGTTTAACCAGGGTTCATTTGTTTACACATATTCACCAGTAATTTTGAGATTATAATTGTGCTTCTGTTCACCCCAATTTATGTCGAAGAAAATTCAAATTTCCAAATACTTCCAATTATCATTTTTTTTGTAGATATTTTTTGTTCATTTCTTTTAAATGAACGCAAGTAGTTAGAAAGATGGTAATATTAGATAAATTTGTAAATATATTGAATTTCATGTTTTGGTCAATTTTGAATAAGTTGGAGTCAAAATTGAAGTTTTTCGCAAAAAAAAAATTACAAATCTTTAATCGTATTCGCTTTTACTTAAACAAAATTCACACGCATTAATCATTTGAAAGCAATCAAAAGTATTTTTATGTATATTGTATATTGTTTTGTGTGTGCGGAAACTTCGAAATTCAAAATTCTGCTGCTGATTAAAAACAAATGGGTTGACATGGTTTTAAAACGCACACATACACACATCTTAATTTTAAAACACAACAAATGATCATTTCACACTCTCACAGATTTGTCGCCGAAGGCAATTGAAGATGAGGAAAGAGGAATACGTAAAGGTACAGTATGAAACCAACATCGCATGACCAAATTGCGTTCATATTTGTTTTTCGTTTTTAATTTCCATCAAACAAATTAATGAAGGCATGGGGCTTATTTTTGCTTAGCTTATCACGTGACTAATTTTATTGAGAGAATAAAACTGGTTTCAATCAGTGAAATTGACAATTTACAAAAAAAAAAAAACCAATATTATAGAAAATAGATGTCTTTTTATGTGCTCACTTTTCTTAACCCTGTTGAAAGCATGGATTTTTCATCAATTGTAAAACAAGCGAAAGCAATCAATTAATTGTGATTTTCTTTTTGATGAAATTTGTGCAACGATCGAAAATTAGTGACCGAGCCACCAAAGGGATTGCGTGACATTTTGGTGAAAGATGGTCCAAAGGCATTTGCCAAAGCTGTTCGTGATCGTAAAGAATTGTTGTTGATGGACACAACATTCCGTGATGCTCATCAATCTTTGTTGGCGACCCGTGTTCGAACCCATGATCTTCTTAAAATTTCACCATTCGTTGCACACAAAATGAACAATTTGTATTCGTTGGAAAATTGGGGCGGTGCTACATTTGATGTTTCGTTGCGATTTTTGCACGAATGTCCATGGGAACGTTTGGTAAGAAACATATTTTTTTTTCTTTTGTTTTCCAATTCAAAACAAAAAAAAAATATATAAAATCGAATAATTCTTTATTAGGCCGAGATGAGGTCGCGCATTCCAAATATTCCGTTCCAAATGTTGTTGCGTGGAGCAAACGCTGTCGGCTACACCAATTATCCAGACAATGTTGTATTCAAATTCTGTGATTTATCTGTGCAAACCGGAATGGATATTTTCCGTGTGTTTGATTCATTGAACTATCTGCCGAACTTAATTTTGGGCATGGAAGCTGCCGGCAAAGCAGGTCAGTTCTCTGAACATTTTTCGCTGACAATGAATTTTTTTTGGTGCAGAACAAATTCATTGATTGTCTTGATTTGAATCGTTATTTGGTATATAGGTGGTGTCGTTGAAGCAGCAATTTCTTACACTGGCGATGTTAGCGATCCAAAGAAAACAAAATACAATTTGAAATACTACACAGATTTAGCCGATGAATTAGTGAAAGCCGGAACACATGTGCTTTGCATCAAAGATATGGCTGGTTTATTGAAACCACGTGCTGCCAAGTAAGAAAATTTCCTTTCTGAATGAATTATAAATTTTCACCACACATTATGATCATTATTAAAATTATGTTTGATTTTCAGATTGTTGGTGAGTGCAATTCGTGCAAATCATCCAAGTGTACCAATTCATATTCATACACATGATACATCTGGAGCTGGTGTTGCTAGTATGTTGGCATGTGCCGAGGCCGGTGCCGATGTTGTCGATGTGGCTGTTGACTCAATGAGTGGTATGACTTAGGAAAAATTGCTTATTAATTATTATTGATTGTTTTACGATTATTTTTCGATTAGTTTCCGATTATTATAAATTAATTCGATTCTTTTCTTTTGTGATTCTCCCCTTAGGTATGACCAGCCAGCCAAGCATGGGCGCTATTGTTGCTTCATTGCAAGGGTCACCACTTGATACGAAATTCAATTTGGGTGATATTTCTGAATATTCCGCATACTGGGAACAAACACGTACATTGTATGGACCATTTGAATGTGCAACAACAATGAAATCTGGAAATGCTGATGTGTACATGAACGAAATTCCCGGTGGCCAATACACAAATCTACAGTTCCAAGCTTACTCACTTGGTTTGGGTGATTTCTTCGAAGATGTTAAAAAATCATACGCTGATGCCAATCAATTGCTTGGCGACATCATTAAAGTGACACCATCATCAAAAGTCGTTGGTGATTTGGCACAATTTATGGTTCAAAACAAATTGAAGGCACAAGATGTTATCGATAAAGCCGAAGAATTATCGTTCCCAAAATCGGTGGTTGAATTTTTACAAGGTGCCATTGGTATTCCATATGGAGGTTTCCCGGAACCACTTCGTTCACGTATTCTCAAAGATATGCCACGTATTGAAGGACGACCGGGTGCATCTTTGGAACCATTTGATTTCAAAAAATTGACCGATGAAATTCATGAAACATGGCCCAAAGCAACTGAACACGATGTTATGTCAGCAGCACTCTATCCAGAAGTTACCAAAGACTATTTGAATTTCCGTGAAAGCTATGGACCCGTCGACAAGTTGAACACACGTATTTTCTTAACTGGACCAAAAGTTGGCGAAGAATTCGAAGTGACTATCGAAAAGGGAAAAACGCTTGGAATCAAAGCGCTCGCTTTAGCCGATGATCTTACACCCAATGGAGAAAAAGAAGTCTTCTTCGAATTGAATGGTCAATTGCGATCAGTATTCATCCGTGACAAAGAAGCTACAAAGGTATCTTATTTCACAGCATTTTTTGTTTCATTGTGCTTATTTCGTTTATTTTTTTCTTCTGCTAAATAGGAATTGCACATTCATCCCAAAGCCACCAAAGGAAACAAAAATGAAGTTGGCGCGCCGATGCCAGGAACAGTTATTGGTATGTAGCGAATTATCTGTTAATATATATATATTTCACCATTCGGGAATGCAAATAACAAATATCTGTCTATTTATAGATGTTCGTGTTAAAGAAGGAGATCACGTAGAAAAAGGACAACCACTTGTCGTTTTATCAGCTATGAAAATGGAAATGGTCGTACAAGCTCCAATAGCCGGAACAGTTAAAAAATTGGAAATTAGCAATGGCATGAAGTTGGAAGGCGAAGATCTTATTCTCACCATGGAATAAATTTCATCACACATAATTTTTATTATTATCATGTGCAACCAAAATCAACATGTTATTCGTGTAAATAACCGTTTGAGTCGAAATTGAAGCATTTCTTCTGATATATGTACCTATCATCACTTTTTTTATTCGTTTAATTTCAAAATATTCTTCTATCATACACATTCGTAATTAATACCAATATTATATGTAGTGAACACAAATTGTTAATTTTGTTCAAATCATCGCGCTATTATTGTGCATCAAGAAAATCAAAATGGCCATTTGAATGAGTCTTAAACAATTTTTTTTTTATTTATGTCAAACATTTTTTTATTACAAGTTAGAGTCGATAATTTTTCAATAAAAAAGTTTTTTAAAAAAAATCAATCGATTATTTTTAATGTAAATTAAGTAAAAGTATTGAAATTCCGAAAATACAAGAAAATGAAAAATCACTCTAATACGCGCGCTTTTGGAGGCGGCGCTCAGCCTTGTTGGATTGATTGTTATATATTGGATTAATTGCTGCTCGCCCAAAGTATTCTTATTCAAATTAAATGGTAATTTTTTTCGGCATAACTAAAATAACTCCCAGTGCATAAAAAATTGTAAACAACAGTTTGAGTTTGATTTAAAATTTAAAGTTCAATAATTTTTTTTCTACTCTTTGCACAATTGCACATAAATTGAACATTTTACAATTTGAATTCATTTATACGACAAGGAGGAAGAGAAGAATGAAATGTTAAACTGTACTCATTAAAGACTGTTACTTTAACTGCAATACTTCTACGGCCGTCTGAAAAGTATATAATTTTATTTTCCAAATTATTTTCTAGTGGAAAAAAACCAGAATAACGGATTCCATACGAAAATTTTGAAATTTATATAATTATTAATCATTGATAATACTCGATAAAACATGATAAAATCCATTTGTAACCTACATGGATTGTGTGGCATATTCTGGTTTGCTCAATCTGTTGCCGCTTTGTAAAAAGTTTGCCAAATTGTTTAAATGATCATCTAATTTAGAATATGCCAATTAATCCGAGTGAAAATAGTTCCCATAGCACGATACCAAATGACCACACATCTGAATGAACACTGTACTTTTGATCGATCGAACATTCGGGAGCTAACCATCTGTATGGTACCAGAGTCTGCAAATCATATTTGAATATTAGTTACATTTTTTTACCTTTTTACATATAATAAAAATCCTTCCTAAAAATCTTTCTTTCGTACTCCTCCATTTTTACGGTAATATGATTTGTTGTGCAAACTTGTGCCGAACCGAAATCACAAATTTTCACTACATTGTTGGCGCACAGTAGAATATTTCTCTGGGTTGCCAAATCTCTGTGTAGAACATTACGAGAAATCAAATAATGCATGCCTCGCGCCACTTGAAATGCCCAGCAAAGTAAATCACTCGTTATGATCGGATCTGTTGTAATAAAATTAGATTTATTGTATTATGCAGTTTAAAAAATCTTTTCATTATAAATCATTACTATTGGCCTCCGAACACTCGTTTGATCAATTGTAGCATTTTTTAAACACGTTCGTTTTGTGCATATAATAAGAGGAGTAAAAAACAAGAGGTATATGTATTTTTGTGTTCTGCTTTTTGTTTATATTATGAGTTCATAAGCATCGGCAAGTATCTAGTGGGTACAACCAAACGAATGTTCATAGTCAATAGCAATGGCGAATTCAAGCACAATATGGAAGTAGTTTCGGTCTGTTCAATAAGTTCGTGTAAGCTTCCGTCATGACATGAATGAAAATGATTTCGTTGACAAATATCGTGTTCGATTTTTGATTGTACTTTTCGAACAGACTAGTTAACTTATATTTTGCATTACAAGGTTTAGTCATTTTGAAGATCCGGGATGACCATTGATCTCCTTGGTCTTGTGCGCAAATTGTGTTGTCTTAGTGTTGCATCAATTGTATCACTTCCATGATTAATTTGATCGATGAAATATTTACGATTGTTCCTCAATAATATTTCAATGTTTCCATATTCACAGAGTTCAAATATGATCATTAATCCGCCTATAGAAATGCTGAATGAACAAATGTTTATTTCTGAGAATAATTCGTAAAATGAAAATGATTTATATTTACTTTCTTCAATATTCTCGGTGACAGCTCTGAGTAAATTCGCCAAATTAAAATACCGGCCCAGATGCATCATGGCCTTTAGATATTTTTCCATAACCTTTAACTATAGCAAGCCCTCCATTCTATTTTTTTCCCAAAAATCGAACCACCCTAATGATTATTATTTCTGTGACAGCTGAGCATATTTTGCTGGGAGGGATTTAAAATGGAACAAAAGACCGAACGAGCTCGCGCGCGTTTCTAACGTAATTAAAAATCTGACTTTTTGAATGATTGACGCAGTCCTGAAGAGACGAGCTGATTATTTTTTGAGCAATATCTTACCCACATACACAATTTTTTTTAAAGGCAATTTAAAATTACCTTCTCTAGTGGCGTTAAAAAGCTGTTTGCCGAGATCCGAAAGTGCACGCACTTTCATAGACAAACATATTAAAACAATCAAACATTTCACTTTCATTATTGAGACAAAGATGTATGTTTCAATCAATTATTTTATACAAATTTAATAAAATTGCAAAAAAAAAAACACTTTTTGATGAAAAAACATAAATAGAGTTGAATAATTTGTTAATTTCGTTATTTTTTTAAAATTTCTTCACCAACGAATATACTTTCAATCGCTATGAAACAACAAAAAAAAATCAAATCATTCCACAATCTACATATACAAAACATCAAATATAAAATATTCAAATTTTGAATGTCACATTTAATTGGTTAATTCACACATTAGGTCACTTACATTCTTATCTGTTCAATTAAATTAGTGCAAACAATAACAATTCGAATGAAGTCTTGCCAAACTGCGTGATTTTCTTTTTGATCAAACAGTCATAGAAAGGATATTGTTGAGTGGATAATAACTTCATTGGATGTTCCCACTCTGACGCAATACTGTAAATCTAGAACTGTTTTGATATACATTTTCATTTATGCCGTATATTATGTCAGCATTTTGATACCTCATTTGGTGCCTTAATTAATCATGATGTGACACAATTATTGGTGTTTTGAGGTAGTACACCATGTTTTGTTGTTGTGCAAAATGACAACTGTTTGCTATATTTCTATGACTTTGTGTTTATTCTGTAGCGCCGTAACAACAATGTATTAGTATAAGTTTAAGCGGAGCATCACATCGATGACGTTTGACCTCAGTTTGTCATACATCAACAACTAACTCATCACCGACGATTATTGTAAGCTGTTCATAGAAAATAAGAAAGCAATTGTTTGAGATTAAAAAATATTCATGTGTAATAGGAAAAGCATAGAAATAAAACTAGGATATCGATATAGAAACGATGGGTAAGTTTGACTTTCCATTATCACATTAGAGAAAAAATATTATCCAAAACATCAATCCAATTAGCAAAAAAGAACAGAAAGAGTAAAAGGAATCCAGAAACAGTGCTCCTCAAAACAGAACAAGAAGATCAACTTTTACTAGAAAATGGAATACTAGGTACTACTAAACTTATTGGTTTTTAAAAAAGTCTCGAATTAGTATTTGTTTTTCGTTTAATAGGAGAAATTCCTGAAATCGCCGAAAAATATCGTTGTGCATATTGTGTGAATGAAAATCAATGGAACGAAACATACGAAAACCCAAAAGATGTCCAAGCTCATTGGAAAGCAGTACATATGAACCCACAGAACATAAAACCATTTAAATATCTTGTGATCGAATATGCCGAGTGTTTCTATTGTCGAGAGACGGGAACCTTTTATGATCTCGTCCAACATCATAAGAAGCGACATCATCAATTGAAATTTGTGTGAGAAACAAACTTTAATATAATAATTACCTGTTTGGAAAATATCTAAACGAATAAATTTATTTAGTATAATCAAACAGAACGATATGCGAAGATGCGCCCTTTGCCCATTCGACGGAAAAGATATTGTTGGTCATTTTGAACTCCGGCATAAATTGGCATTGAAAACAGTTGCGGCAAGACGCCGTCACATATTACACATACCAAAACAGTTAAGCCATACGGAGCTGATTCGTCGTATAGAGAGTTCAGTGCAGAAGAAGCAAAAATGCGATTATTGTAATACAATTTGTGAAACAGAGTGCGATTTACGTTTACATAACATTCAAAATCATCGATCTCAAATGAACTTCGATGATATTTATGACAATTACAACATCGATCTCATTTGCAATTGTTGTCACATTAAAATTGACAAGGACTCTTATTTCTCCCATGTTGAACAAATCGCATTTAATTTCAATTGTCATCAGTGTGATTTTCAAACAGAAGACTTGATTGAACTAGTAAAGCATGATAAAATGATGCATAATTTATTGAATAGCTTCGAGTATCGTTGTCTGCAATTTAAAAATCGATTGAAACGGGACTTTCTGAAGACCCAAGTAACGTTTGGTAACGGTTTTACGGTAAGAAATAATGCGCTATTAGATGCAAACTACTTAAAAAAAAAAGTTGAATTTATTTTAACCATAGGTCACCAAACAGCATTTATTGAACACCACTTACGATGATAGTAAGGAGTTCGAAGTATTTATAAGTAATATTTTAACAGTCAAGAAGGAAAGACGCGACAGTATGGAAAGAACTAAATGAATCAGCTGCAAACACAGCCAACACTTTGATTTGTTTTTTTAATCGAATTTTAACCAAAAACTGTTTTTTTTTTTCATCAATAAAACGCAAATTCGTGTATTTATCTTTACAATATCAACCAAATTTTAGAATTGAAATGTCTTTTACGAATAAATTTTTTACCCCGAAAATATTACGTTTAATTTTTTGGCTAATTTCAAAAATCGCTGGTAAGTTTGGGCATTCGAGTTGCGATTGTTTCAGTATTGAACCAAACCTAACCACAAAATCGTCATCGGCGTAAATTAATACTCTCAAACTTCATGACATTGATTTTATGCATGTCATCTATGAAGCATTGTGCGAATCAAACAAAATTTATATTTCAATCGTCAAAACGAACCTGTTTAGGTACGGAACTTTTTAAATCCATTAGGTGAACATTCGTGTAGCGTAAATGTCAACTAGAAATTGCCAACTGCATTTGGCGTGAGATATTTACTTAATCCAGAAATTAAAATATAAGAATACGCAGCTAACTAATACACAAAACGGTAAATTTGGTGTGTAATTTTGCATGATAAGAACACAGAATGGCTTTTCACTTCATTCTCACAAATACTATCAAAATTCTGATTTTGACATGATTTTTTTCGGCAAATGAAACATTGAACAAAACACATTATAAGTAATTTTAGTAATATCGATTACAGAATCAAAAATGAAGGCTTGGAAAGTAGAGTTGAACGAACTGTTGGAAAAAATTGAGCGACATACAACTGCCTCATTGTGGCGTATCAAGATTGAGTTTGAACGATCAAATTTGATGTTTGATCGAAAATTCAGAAAAAGATTCCTTCGACTGACAAACAATCGGTAAAAGTTGTGCGCAATTGTGTATATCGTTGATTTTTAATGAACAAAATAACATTCACCATTTTCAGATTGAGTGAGGTATACGAACGGATTGAGATTGAATCACTAGCCGATAATCAGCGAAACATTCATGGTCACTTTGATGACATTCGAAATGGAAATCAGCGTCATGCACGTGATTTGTCTATGGAATGGGAGCAAAATTCAAAGCGAAAGTGTGACCGTAGTGAATTGAAGGATGAACGCTCTACAAAGAAGAAAAAATATTCAAGTATACAGAGTTCGAGTGACGTTCACAAGCGTCTCGGTAAAAGAGTCAACAGTAAAAACGATATAGATGATTTGCCGGTACAAGACATCAAAGAAGAGAATCCTTTTCGATTGAATCGAATTGCTGAGCCCATTGTTGACCAATCAAACGATGCAAAACAATCATTTTCCGATGTCAAAGTAAAATTGGAAGTGCCAAGTCCGACTCTTTCGCCATGCAATCGATCGACATCGAAAAGAAAACTCAGCACCGACAAAAATGAAGATAAAACTGAGACAGCATGTAAAAAGCGAAAGATCAGCGAAAAATACAGTGACACCAACTTGGGTATAATTTTATTTAAAGTTTTATAAAACAAAACAAAAACTTCGTTCATTTTATATTTCGTAGGCAAAGAGGAGGATGGTGCAAGCTTGGAGAATTTAACATTTTTCTGTGTTTATTGTGCGGATACAAACAATATCAACGAATCGAGCTGCGGAACCATTGAAGATGTGTATGGACATTGGCTGTCGGGTCACACTCAGGGCATGAAGAAGGTCAATCCATTTTGGTTTTATGTTTGTGGTTCATTGGCGTGTTTTTATTGTGATTTTATTTCAAATTATCAAGAGATAATCAAGCATCACCAACACAGTCATCCAAATCAGACATTTGTGGCTGTATCACCGTATGATCATAAGAATTGCGGTTTGTGCCAATATGTTGGCGATGAGATGATTTCTCACTTTGAAACCGAACATAATGAGCTAGTATCGTCAAAGGTGTTCAGTCCGGCTCGATTATCGGCACGTCTCTTGGTTACACTATTTGCAATTGATATTCATAAGAAACGACAATGTGGTCTCTGTGACATCATTTACGAAACGCAGCATGAAATGGAAGCCCATCACTCGGCCCAGCATACCGGTGAAATGATTTCAAATGAATTCTGCGACAGTCAAAGCGCGTATGTAGAGATATAAATTGATGTAGAAAAATGTTTATTTTTACATTGAATGTTTGTTATTTTTTCCACTTTTCACAGATACGTCATTTGTGATTATTGCTCAAGCAAAGTTGATGGTACTAAGTTTTTCTATCACATTGAAAATCATCGATACGAATTAAATTGCTCGAAATGTGATTTCATTACAAAAAATTTGGTCGATTTGGTTATTCATGAAAAGGACAAACACCGTACAAATGCATTGAATTACCATTGTTTCGAATTTGGTGAACGATTGAAAAAGCAGTACTTTAATTCGAAAATCGTTTTTGGAAACGGTTTGATACTTACCAATCACAATTTCAAAAATACAATTTATGATGACAGTAAGCAGTTTGAAATATTTGTCGAGTCTTTAATTGAGAAAGCGAAACGCAAATGCAATCGTGCAATGGGGAAACGAGAAATCAAAGAACCAAAAAAAGATGTCTCATCTCGGGCATCTTCCATTATATCGTGGTCTGCATCAGAACCATCGGATCGACGTTCATCCATCGATTCATTATATCATGTTAAATCATCGTCATATCGTAATCCATTCCGTGTTTTATCGATGCCATTACTCATGGTTGAATTGGATCAACAAAATCAACTCGCGAACAATCTGTCGATTCTTGGTTTTCCGCGCTTGAGAAATGAGGATCTTACTGAGATGTTTAAGAAGCTTTGCAAAAAACTGCACATCACGCTATCATACAATGATGTGATTAAAATTTATCGAACAAATGGCGTAAATGAATCAGTTATTGTGAAATTTAGTAATTACGAAACTAAAGTTATGGTTAAGAACAGAGCGCACATGACCAATATATGGTCAGACGATATAATTAAATTACCAACGAACGAAAAGCCAACGAAAATCTATGTGAATTTGCACACAACTCGCTTCTATGGAAAAATGATAAGCATTGCCCGGGAGGCGCGTAAAAATAAAAGCATCTGTTCATACAATTTATGTAAGCGTGGTTTGGTTGTGAAACGTACCGAAAAGAGCAAGGAACGTGTCATTTTGTCAACAAACGAACTGATGGATTACATTTATGGCAAAAAAAGTGGCAAACATTCAGTTAAGGAACATAGTCAACGATCAAGTCGCCATTGAAGCATTTTTTTTTTTGCTTCATCAGTTCTTATTCAAATGTAGTTCATTGTATTTTGAATTTTATATCGATATAACATGCTATTTTTGGAAAGGATGCAATTTGACTTTGGATTTGCTGATATATTTAATTACAAAAATGCCTAAAAACAAGACAATAAGAAATGGTTTAACAATATCCAATGAAATCGAGAAGAAAGAAATTAAAATTGTAATAAAGAATTTTCCCTAGAATCATTATCAATTTTATTATTTAATGCAATTAAACATTATTTTTTTAAGTCTGATCCAAATTTATATCAGTAATTATTTGTTTAAAAAATAAGTATAAAAGTCGGCTAAATAGAAAAATAAATTTTCTGCACAAAAAAATGAACAAATTTTTTATTCTCCTGAATAGATTGTTTTTTTTTTAAGGTTGAAAATTGAAAAATTCATATCAATGCAAATTAAAGTTGAATTAACATTTTAACGTTAAAAAATGTTGGTGGTCATTTTCGTGTCTAATAGTTTGTTTGTGTGTTTCATTCACTTCCAATACCATTTCGTTATTAATAATGTAAACACAGCTCAATACGTTAACTTTTAAATTGTAACGATTCATTTGTTGCTCGATAATAGAAAAATAAACAATCCGTTAAGAGAGAGATTTGCGTTATTTGATTTAAAATTAAGAACATTTTTAGACGTTATTTACTGCATTACTTCTTTGTTTTTCATGAATAAAATTTCAATTTCGAAGTTTCGAACCAGAAACGATTTTTGAATATGTATGACATTTAACAGTTGGTGGTTGTGTGTTTTTTATACAATTGGTTCCTTGAATAGAACGCAAAATGAGTCGACACAAGACGACCGATCCGAACAAGGATCTAAGGTCAATCAAACAGGGAATACTTCGTCCAGAATATCGTGATATTTTCGTCCAAATCATCACAATTCTGTCAATTAAGGCCCCAAAAATAGCAAATTTGGCATCGTTGCTATTGTTGATGATGGTGTGATGAAATTCAATTATTATTGTGTATTGTTTTCGAAATTACTTTTTTTACTAGAATTTCGATGTGAATTGCAATGAATGAACTGATTTGATTGTTTTCTCTTTGTGTGTGTTCGTTTGTTGAATAGGTGAACGAAAACATTGAAGGCAATAATGGCGAAATTTTTTTCGAACAGGATGGGAAAAAGGTAATCCAAAATTGTTTTAGAGCTGTGTTTTTGGCCAACATTGACAACGTGTCGCTGATGTTACCGGATTTTCGTCACATGGTTGAATCGCATTTCATTGAATGACCAACTAACAATGGCTTCGGCGCAGCGTTTACGTATCTGTGGGAGCAGTATATGGATAACGTCCAAACGAACCTGACTACCCATTGCGAAAGCCGATTAAAGAAATTCTTCAAAATGCGCGTGTTTGAATTGAACGACTTTGCAACGCAGTACAATTATTTCAACGATCAGTTTGGTCACGGTGACGCATTGGGTCCCATATTACGACAATGTTGACTAACAAATGCCGTCAACTACACATATCATAGCAGAATTGGTGATGAACAGCGTGACGATTGCAAAATCAAGGATTTCGTTAAGAATGACTGGTTCAAATCCATTCGCATGTGAACATTCATTCAGCGCTCTATCCGGATGTTTCATATCACGTACAAAGATCGCCGTGATAAACCACGATTCCGGAATTTCGTTGTTTTACCGATATGTGATTTCCAACGGCGACAAATTCGTGTCGATACAGATGCATTATACAACATATTATGCCATATAAAAATTGTGCCGGGAAAATTTGGTAAACAAAAATCCAAAAAAGGAACGCCAAATTGGAGAAACATTGAGAAGAAAGAATTCATTGCAAACAAACATGGAAGTTGGAAGCTGTTTTTCAATGTGGAGAAAATTTGCAAATTGGTGAGCAACAAAAAGGATTTTGATTACCAGATTTGTTCGGATGGCGTATCTGTATCGTTAAAACGGACTCTGAAATCAAGGCAATATACGATAGCAAACAATTGAAGTATGCTATTGGAGTTGATCCGGATCCGGGCATGCGTACGTGGATCGCTTCAGTACGACGTGAGATTGAAATCAACGAAGAGGTAAAGAAGCCATAAGAAAACCATAGATTTAATGCCTAAAACGATAAAAAATAAAATTCACATATAGTTGGCGCTGCATTCTATGCAAACCTGTTTTACGTTGCAACGGAATAAATGGAAAGTATACGCTTATTACATAGAATGTAGCGCCAACTATAAATGAATGTGTGGTGTTCAAGCGGACAATTCATCCAAATGTACGCAGACCACCCCGCGTTATCAACAATCAACCTTTACCATTGTATCGCGGTCTGAATCAGAATGTCAACAATGGACAACTGCAGCCGTAGTAGTAGCAGCGCTCATTCAACGAAATCAACAATATTCAATCAAATCATAATTTAGAAACTAATTATTTGTTAGTACGCTAGGCTTTTAATCAAATTGTGGCATTGCCTCAATTCAAGTATTTCTGTAGGTTAGTATAGTGTACTGAATAGGATATCAAGTCAATTTTTGTATCATACTAATTGAATTTTTTCTGTTTTTTTTTCATTCCATTGATGACGTTGAATTCGACTGAAACTACACACAAATCCGGGCCCAAATTCGACCGTCAACATATGCCCGATAATGGATGAATTTTCCACAACATTTGTATAGCAAAATTTTGAAATTTATTTGTAATTCAAGACATGTATCATGCAATATAAAAATTAAATTTTTATAGTTTGGTTTGTTTCTTAAAATAATTTTGAATTTGATTTCATAAAAATGCAGCATTACGTTGCAAATAAAAATGATTCTACTAATGATTAAAATACGGGAAAACTGTAAAAGTTGAAGAAAAAAATTGTGTTGTTTTGGAGAATTGATGATTTTCCGTTTTGAACATCGTTGATTTTGCTTCACTGGCCAATCAATTTTACTCCTCGTTCCAAAATGGCAGCAACGTGCGATTCTTTGTGTAGAATATCATGGTGGGCTTCAATGAGTTTTATCGCCAAATCAATTGGGTTCGTTTTGAATTTGCAGCGGTTGACCGATTTTGCGATCTTTGAATGTTGACGATGTTCCAACGGAACAAACCCATTGGGTCTGATAAATCCATTCTCGAAAGCAATTTCTTGTTCACTGCTACGCGGTCGTGGTATCAAGCCGAGGAAGTTGCAGTATGCATTTTGTTCTTGTTCGTCATTGAAGTACATGCAGCCAGAAAACATTTTGATTTGCGCTATGTCTCTCACGTTCATGTTGACGAAATGGTTGTCGGCGCCAGTCACACGTAAATCACTTTCGCGCAATAAATCACTATGCAACTTGCCTGTAATGGCAAATGATAATTGTGAACATTTATGAATATGTTATTAGAGCATATATGTAACTTACTCAGTTGGGGCCGAAACATGAAAAGAGTGGATCTGCTACTTTGACGAAAATATGGCAACAAACGATTGACTTCATTGCAACTCAATAGCACCAAAATATAAGCATCGCCATGGTCGTCACAAATGTGGGCAATCCACCAAACTGGACGTAGGAATTCATCATACATAGTTTTGCTACCTGGAGGTGAATCAACATTGAATAGGAATGGATAAATAATCGAAAGGAATCAATTCTGTTACCCTTTATAACTCGGGAAAAATCCTTGGTTGCGTATAAATAGTTGACCTACGGCGAAATCACAAAAGTAACGAATAGAAATATTTGTGAGATAATCAACAAAGAGTGAAAATAATTTACCCATGGTGATTTAACATTTTTGTATGCCTTGAAGATTTTCGTTCCGGAGAGTACAGAGCTCAATGGCAGAAGTGTTTTTGTACTTTTCAAATCTTTGAAAATCTGTGGAACCAAACCGTCACGAACCAAATGTATGAGTCTTCCATCAAAAATCGGGTTGCACGGATCCACTTTTGGTGGTCGCTCAATTTGTTGAAACTCTTCCACTTCGTGCTCTAATTCCAATTCTTTTTCTTGTTCCTCGTCAAGACTGTGCGCAAATCGTTTTATCGTTGTGTTCAATTTGGATAATTTTTCTGTGACACCATTATCAATTTTTTGTATAAATCGAACAACTCTTTGATGATCTTCATACATTTTGCTCAATTTTTCGAAATTACTTTTCGAAATATCGCTCAAGAGAGCATCTTCTCGATCGCCGTACATTTCTTTAAGCGTTACAAATTCCTTGTCAACGCACTTCTTGTACATGTTTCGCATTGCAAGCTCTTCCGTTGACTTTTCGTACAGTTTATGGGCGGCCAATTTCTTTGTGTAATTATGTGCGGCAGACACCCAATGAACGGTGTTTTCGACTTCAAATTTACGGCTATTATCTCGAATGAACTCAACCACATTTTCGTTTGTGACTTGGTCTTGTGGTGACAGCTTGCATATGTCACGAATTCGAAGATCGGCTTCGAATGATGCCCAAAATGCAATCGAATGACGCTTTCCCAATTGACGCATTCTCATACATGCCTGCACGGTTTTATCGCGAGTTATGTCACCAGAAAGTGTTACACACGCCTTCCAGTCCAATGGAAATTTCAAATCAGTTCCTCTCGTATGGCTATCATCCAAATAAACCAAACATCTGTCCAAGTTATCTCGGTACACAGAGCAATCGAGCTCAGTTACCACAGCATTACGGTCTATCGTTTGTAAAACATCTTTTTCATCAAAATAAATGGCCGCTTCATAGACGGGATCAGAAACCAATTTCAACCATTCAATAGCCACTTGCTTGTTATTGAGTTCCAACATCAATGCACCTGAAGAAAAATGAGATTGATAGCCAGAAATTTAAGAAAACAAATACCACTTGTATAAGTTAAATGGTAACTTTTACCTGAATCAACAAGCACCGGAATTTTGGAGGCAACCAGATTTTTAAGTATCTCCTTTGCGCTTACATTTGATGGAAGATTTTCGTATTTTTGATTTTCCGGTTGTAACAATGTTTGACGAACACTTTCGTTTGTATTTTCCAATTCGCTGAGATCATTCTGAGTTACCGGCAAGGGTAGAATGTCTTTTGTGTCGTTCGTACCTGAAAATCCTCGTACTGAATGTTTCATATGTTCGCTCGTTAAATCCCATGCATTACACATCAACTTGCGCTCGAATGATTTTGCTTCGTGCAAAAATACCACGTTTGACAACCAAAAATCAATGATATGCATGTTAAAGCGAAATAACGGAAATAGGATCTTATCACGTTGGAATGTATCTATTAAATTGATGCCAAAATATGATTGAATTGTTGGATCTATCAACAATGGATCAATGCTACCGATCCATTTGGAATATATAGCAGGTGCATTTCTTGTTTTTGCCAATATTTGAAACGTTTGCATTAGCTGCTCGTCGGAAAGACCTGCATACAGAAGAATGAGAATTACTTTTTGAAACATAAAATCTTGCATTCATCCAATGAAATAATAATATACCTGAATAATAGTAGCTCAGCTGTGTGAGACAAATCGCAACATCGGGATGGCCGAATTCGGTGCATTCGGCCGCTACGTCTTTGGCTTTAAAAGTAAAAGAAAAATAAATGGTAAAATCACTGTGTAATGAGAAAATAAGTTGGGTGTATGTACCTTTGAATGGAATCGCCATTTTTCGTGAACCTTTTTCGTTCACACCATAATTGACGCGCCAACGTTTGGTTAAAATAAGTTTTAGCACCTCAAAACGCAATAACCCGCTCAAAATCAATACTGTTTTCCGTTCGGTCGCATCCAAATCTCTTAGCGTTCCTTCAAATGTCTTTTTATCGATTTCTCTTTCGCCAAGTAAGATTCGAAGCCGATTCTTGGCCGATGCAGTGATTTCGGGAAAGGTGATTTCAGTTTTACCTAGAGTTGATCAGAAGAAAAGAATGGAAAAAAATGGAAAATAATCAATGCATAATGGAACGTAATGGAAAATGAAATTTCAGTTTTACCGCTTAAAAAATCTTCGATGAGTGCTTTTTTGAGCACCGCAAACATTGTTTCGTCCAAAATGCGACTCGGCGTAAATACATCATTGCGATAATTTACTTTTCCAGCTCCATAAACATTTCCATTTCTAACGTAATTTACATTAAATTCCACATACTTTTCGCCGCGTTCATGGTAAATTGCGCTCATGAGCGATGGTATACGTTTCAAAAGTGCTTGAATGACAAACCATCGTTGCGAACCACCATCGATAGACCGTTGATTTCCAACTGTGTAAATAAGCTGATATTTGGCATGCAGAATGGCATCGGATTCGTCTAAAATATTTCTCACATTTTCATTGATCCACTGATGAACGTCAAGAAATCGCTGAGCCGATTCAAGATCATGTTTTGCCACCGATTCATAGATTTTCAGTTGAAACGATAATCGATATTCAGGCAGTGTGAGAATGACACCTGCGAAAAAAAATTCATTAAATAAACCTTCAATAGAAGTTGTTTAGGTACATACCTTTGTTCTGCATGCATTCCTTATACATGTTGTGTATTTGTGTGACGTATTTATTTATCGGTAAATCTCGTCTGCAAACAAGGATTCAATGTTGTTGTAAAATGTACGAAAAAATAAACCAAATGGACAATTATTACCTGCACGGAAACACATAAATTCGACGATTCAGCATACCTCCAAGGTATTGACGTAAACTCTTCAAATTAGTTGCGAACAACGACTTCAGTACAGTTATTTGGCATGCTTGTTGTCCATTGGCCAAAATCGAAGCCAAAATTGGGACGACGACGGCCGTCTTTCCTTCCCCCATATTAAATTGCATGGTAAAATGTTTAAAATTCTTATCGGAAGGACTGTCGTCAATCATACGTCGGGCAATTTCAATTTGGATTCGACGAATCGTTAAGTTTTGCTCAATTTCAAACAACAACCACTCAGGATAGTCACTCGGTTTCCAATTTTCATACGGTGTATTGTCAATTTCTCTTTCTAATGTCGGCTCTTGTTGTGACTGCTGCCAATACGTTGAAATGCGATTAAAACGCTGTTCACTGGCAATTGAAATGGCCCATGCACCGATAAGCCATTTTAGTCGATGATCGATCTCATTCGAAATTAATTTGGGCAAGATCTTTGTTGGAATTGATCGCGGAAATATGTCACCATCAACCAAATGTTGTGAATTCTTCGATACAATCTGATTGTAAATAGTCCACCATTCAGCTGCTGATTTAGTTGAGTCGTTCTGTCCGGATTCCCAAATAATCCGAGCTTCATCTATCAGCTTTTTATGACAATCTAAAGTTTGGCTCAACTTTGCGGTCCAATCGATTTTGTATCTTGACCAATTTTTTGCCGGCAGCTTGGTGTTTGAATGAATTTTCGGGCAACAAATAAACGTGGATGCTGGCAATGAATTCAATTTTTCCACTACTTGATCAATGAAGCGATCAAGTTGGTGATTGTAATACCATTTTGACAGCAATGAGTTGATTTTTTCACTTGCTTTTACGATATTTATGTCATGAGTATAGTGTGGATAGTCAAACAATGGAAACGAAGGACATGGCCATTTTTCGGTAATAGTTTCCTTTAAACACAATATGTTATTTTCAATTATATCATCATATTCTTTACCTAGAGTTGATCAGAAGAAAAGAATGGAAAAAATGGAAATCAATCAATTAGTAATGGAACAGAATGGAAAAGGAAATTATAAAAGAGATTTGGTAGTAGTAGTAGTAGTAGTATTCTTTACGTTTTTCAGCTGACCAAACACCACCACGATACTTAATTGGCCGTTCATGAAAATTATATAAAATTGTGGATATATCAGTTTCACTGTACGTTCCTTCGTCCAAGAAAAAAATCTTAGCATCCGGTGAATTGATGTCTTTGAAAGCGTATCGATTCGTCGCAACGGCTTGCAGAGCAAGGATGGCATCGATGTTATTCTCATGATGCGCCAATAGAGTCCAAATTAGTGCAAATTGTTTCACATTCAGCAATGTACTGCTTCTGGCCACTTCGTAAAAGGAAATCCATTGTTCACGCAACATTGTCGGGTTGTTGCGCAATTGTTGAATGTTACTTAAAATGTTTACGACATTCTCAATGTGATTCGCTCCAGGTAACTGCGAATGATCTGTTATCAAAAATTTCTTCAGACTTGCTTTCAAGTCCGTCGGAACATAATATTGGTGATTGTTGCACAAAATGGCTACCGTTTGTGTGTTTGGCGAGAAATTCGTATCCGATATTATTGGAAGAGATGTATTTGACTCTTCGCCCTCCGTAAATTCGGCGATATATTCATGTGAAATACGCAAATTCGGTTTCAATGGCAAATAACGAAGATAATTGCGAATATTCAACTCCAAGTTAGTGTCCGCAATGAGATGATTGTTTTTGATTTCAGAATTGTCATCAGAATACAAGCCTTTTAGGCGTTCGCTATCGCTCAATAATTTTTTTACAATAAAAATGTAACTGTCTTGAGCCGAATGTGGTTGTATGAATAACGGCCATGCAACGCTCAACATACCGGCATTAATTCGACGACGTGGAGTCAACCTTTCAAACTCATGAAGCATTTGTATTGTCTCTTGATCATATGGACCAGACGACCACACGTAATTGGATTGTAATATTTGCAGCGCACGTTCGGTGCCCGACATTTTCATGAATGGTTCCATTTGACCGTGTGAAGTGACCGCGTGCAAGTAAGCAAGGTAAAACCATGCTGAGGTAGTACCACTCGTTGGTTTCAGTTGACGACAAACATCATCCACTTGATATGAATGCCATGGTGGCGTACGAAGCTTCAAATCTACATCGATATTAACAGTAACGTGTGAACCAAGTCGACTTGCACGAACCTTGCCATGAGGCAAAAGCAAAAGTTTTGTTCGTAGTAAACTTTTTTCAGCCGCCTCCAACAGCAATCCATTTTCCAAGCCATACAATGTCCCACATTTTTGATTGAGCGAAACACGCATACTGCTAAACTCGTTCGATAACAAATCATACCTGCGGCGTTAAATCATATAGAAAAGAATGTAAGTAACAGACATATTCAGTGACAATGAAATCGCAAAAAAGTGATCATACCCTTTGGGGCGATGTATTGTACAATCCACTTTGAATTTCAATTGCATTCGCACTAATTCAATTTTGGCAATTTTCGGCTCGTCCATTAAAACATGAATGTATTTGGGCTGTTCCAAACGGTCTAGTTGTCTGACAATGTTCCGATAACTGTTGCTCGTGATGTCCAACATCATTCGATTGGTTTGCTTGTGGATTAATCGATTTGTTTTCAAATCCAATTCATATTTTATTTCGGTTGAAAAATTTCGGTTGCTGAACAATTTTGGACGGAATTCAATTTTTTTGTCACGTTTATTGAACCAATGGCTATATTTTTCAATGAGCAGTGGTGTTATATCTCCCGTCAATGTTTCAGGTGGTAACAATTCCATTTCCGTACCATTTTCTTGCTGTTCGATAATAATGGGCCCGTTTATTGTTTGCATGAATTCATAACGATGGCCATTGTATTTATGAATGGAGGCAAAACAATTTTCCGTATCTGGTTGCACCTCGAATACGAATTTCTCAAACACGCTTTTAAATAATTTACTTTGAATGATTACGTCTGGTAATCGACAAATTGGAAAGTTGTTCACCAACAGTTCACCGGTTATTATATCAATAGTTACATTTTTTATAACTGAATTCACGATAACCTTGATCTTTAATATTTGTCGGCAATCTAAATCAAAATCAAAATCAATAAACTGACCACGTTTTGATCGTGACCACATTTTCTGCACAAAACTGTAAACATCGTTCAGGTTTTGTTTGATTAGTATGCGTAAAGTTGGCTCAATATTGATTCCAATATTTCGAACTAATCGCAGTAACATGCGAAGATTTTGTTCATTTTGTTGTTGCTTCAAGATGATACTGTTGTTTAACGTAACGATGAATTGTAGCCACATTCGAAGGGCTGTGCATCCATTGGCCAGATTTCCCGCAAATATTTTATAGAAATGAGTGTGTTCTGGATGAACGTTGAACGTACAAGCACCGGCAATCGCAACGAACACCAATTTCATGCGTAGTTCATTTTGATTTGATTGATCTGGACTTTGAATATCTTGAATCGCTTTTTGACTTTTTTCCATCCAATCCATAGCAATCATTCGTAGTTTATTCAATAGTGTTGCAATTTTAATTGCAAACTCTTCATTTTCATTGATTTCAAAGACACGAACTGCAATCAATGCAATCATCAACAGCTTCAACGGATGTGCCCAATTATTTTTCTGCTGTTCGATATATTTTTCGAGTAATCTTATGATAGCACCGGAAAAATTGATACACTTAAGGTCTTCATGAGATTCTCGAATTGCACCAACATCTCCACCGACACCCATTTCCCAAATTGATTGCATCACCAGTGACAAAACTGATGAATTTTCAAACGATAATGCTTCACTTTCGATCATTGCGTAAAGTTTACGCCATTGTAAACGATTCCCATCGGCACGCAATGAACCGAAATTTTTAAACTCAGCTATGGACAGGTCTTGAACCTAAATTAGATTTACAAAAAAAAAACACACATTATGAAAATAATAATGAAATGCAATTAAAACTGAAAGAGAAAAGACGTACACAATTGGCTTGGCGAGCTAATACTTCATTCATGGTGTGCGACGTTCCTCTCACGGCCCATTGCAAATACTTGTATTTGCTATCATTTTCGACCGACAATGTGCATCTGTTTTTAATTAAACTGTCCGTAAATTCGGTTATCATTTCTTTTTTTGACGAATGATAAATACAATTGAATCCATTGTGAACAACAAATCGCTCAAAATCCTCATCAACGTGCAATTTGACGTTTGGTGTTTGTGTTGAGCTGCCAATCGTAATATCGTTGTTCTGCATGTTATTATTCAAGAGATCATCAAATCGATGATCCTTCCAATCTACTAGAGAATTTATGTAATTACCGGATCGACCAGTGACACATTTGATAAAGGCGTATAACGTATCGCGCAGACAAGCCACTCCATCTGGAATATTGAGCTCAAAAACGACAGCATTCTGTTCATATGATTTTTCAGGCAGTAGACGTTCATAAACATCAATTTTTGTTTTTTTTATTTGTCTATTCAAGTAACACAGTGTGCATTGATAACTGTGTTTTTCCACCTCATAATCGATTGTATTGAATTGATGTGATAATTTGGCTGCTTCAACTTTAAGATCATGCACATTTTCGTGCATTTTTTTCCTCTTTTCAATTTTTTTCATTATGATACACAATTCACATTTCAAATTATGTTTCTTTTCATGATGGATGACAATATTGTACTCATGCAAATGGTCAACCGTTTCGATTCGCAAATTCTCAACTTTTTCTCGGCCTTCTAACCATTCCTGTTGCTTTCTTATGATGTTGTGATCATCAATAAATTTGATTTTGGACAAAAAATTCCTCATTTGTGGATCTTTGCCACCAAATTTAGCCGAAAATGATCGTTCGGTCACTTGAGTCTCTTCAATTAAACTGGGATATGTGGCCACTTTGTTTCGTCGAAGAAAATATATTTCCAATTCATATGCAATTTGCATATCGATGCATTTTGGCAGCAACAAATAATTGACAATTTTCGGATTTATACCACTGGAATGCTCCAAGAGTAGCGGATAAGTTGTAGTCGCAATTTTATCAAGAATTGCAATAATTTTTAATGAAACCAATATCATTTTGCTGTAGCCAAGTGGATCGTTTTTGTAGAATGTTTCCGAATACTCAATGTACGCTTTACAAGACGCTCTGAGGGTGTTTGGTTGTAAATTCGATTGATTGACATTTATTTTGTATAGAACATAATTTTCAAAGTCGCTAATGAAGAGATTATTTTCGACTTCATCGATGGTTCTTTTCTCATACTTGAGCCGTTCTATGGGATCGCCTTGGTCCGTGTAATATCTCTTGTATGTTTTTACATTAATCGTATCGTTGTGGCCATTTTGCATGAATCCCATGGAACGGTCTTTCAAATAGCGATGCAACTTGGAAACTCTCTGAATAACATCTGCTTCAAAGTTCAGATCAACCAGTGGCGATAGTTTTGATCGCTTTTCGTCAGCAATTTGCAAATTTTCAATCGATTTATCGATTTTTAATCTCGTTTCATGTATAACTGAACAAGCTTGAAGCTTGATACGATCTTTCAATTCGGTAAAAAAAAGTTCGCATTTACCAATGGTGGGTAATTTTTCGACGCGACGTGCCAATTTGGCCAACACTTGTGCCACCAATTCAACATTGAGCTCTTTTTGCCATGGCTGATTGAAATGATCACATTGATCAGTTATAAATTTCAGCATAATAATTTTGTAAAGTAATTTTCCAGATGCTTCGCCCAGTTGACAAGTGAGACTGTGTTGTAGCATCACCTTTACGCACATGTAAAAACTCGAACGACGCACATATTCGGTGTTTGTCTCAAGAATTTCATCACGAATTTTCTTCTTGATTACTGGAAAATTCGACGGGGTAACATTCAATGATGATGATTCATTCATAAGTAACGTAGCCAACCACTTTGACACGTAGTCACGAATGTGACTATCAACCAATTTATTTTCGTAAAGATACAACAGCATATCGGCAAATTCTTTTGATCGTAGTATATTGGAATTTTTCACTTTGATCGCTTCGGATGGATAGTTAAACTAAATTTCGATTGGAAAAAATAATACGTGCAAAAAATTTGGGGAAAAACATCAATTTGATAGGATGCCTTACCTCCAAATCACTTGGATTGTTATAAACTTCTCTTGGATGAACTTTTGCTGGAAATGTTGCAACGATAATGTCCTCTGAATCGGCTGGTGCTTCGGGCAGCATGTGAATCAAAAGACCACAATTTTGTGCTCTAACAAACATTGCAAACGTTTCACCCGGTTGCAAAAAATTGATTTTATTTCTGATAATAGTTGGATCCAATTTCAGATGAACGTCAGCTAAGCAACGCAACATTTCCACGGTATTAATCGGCACATAATCGGAAAGACTTTCAACATTTTGTAGCATTCGTTTCATCAGTTCCAATTCTTCTGCAACGAAATTTGGTGATCTTTCCGGTGGAAAGTAACGTGGCAAAACGATTTGCACGATCAGATTTTCCAGCATCACATCCGCTTGGGATGAACCCTTTATACGACAAACATACGAACAGCATGTATTCACTCTTCAATTTATAATTACTTAGAACTACTTACCATTTTGAATGGGTTTGAATGATTCGAGTTGAATACACGATTTTATTTTCAGGTCGGCTTAAATGTCTGGAAAATGTTAGAAAGAGACTTTAGTTTATATAGAAACTGTTGACTTCAGTGATTGTTGGTATTTATACGTTGTGTTAATTAATATTTTCATTGAATGACGCGCGTCTGTAATGTAAAACCTTAAAATTCATGGAATACTCTGACCAAATGTTCAACGTTAAGAAACATTGGCGATAAAATGAAAAAAAAAATGCTTCGTAAGATGAGAAGAAATGCTGATTTTTGTCAGCGTCATCATTACGTTGATCTTATATTTCATGACATTTTTTTATGCATACATTAAATGGGGTATTTTTTTTAACTCATTCACAGAATTGAATTTTTTTCGATTGTGAATGTTGTTATAATTATTTCATCATTCGAAATTCTATGAATTCTTTCTAATACAGAATATCTATTGAAAAATATACTTCAATCCTATCATGAAACCACTTTGAAACCTATTGAATTTTATCAAAACTTGATTTGCAGATTGTGTATGATTGAAAAATAAATTCAAGCCACTCTAGACAAAACAATCGTCTTTTAGTGTTAGCCGAATCAACATCACAACATATACTGATTTCACCATGTTTTCATATACTGATTTCACCGACGCGATGATCAAAGCAAACATATGTATCTATTGAACAGAGTTATTCGCTTTCATTCACCTTACAATTTTTTAATTGATCGATTTAAAATTAAAACTTAAATAAAATAAGTACACGGTTAAAAAATCTCACTTTATTTTAAAAATTACTCTCTGTGTGCTACTCAATGCACAATTTGAATAAAATAAGAAAATTCAATCTAATTTTCAATGCACTTTGCAAACGAATGTTGACGACTGTATGAATAAGCGTCAACAAGTTGTTGAAGCGTTGACAGTTGAATATAAAGGGCAATACATACACACACAAGCCGGTCGTTGTTGTGTTAGTAGTCCATACGATGCGGTCACGATAGCGGTTAATTTGCTTGTGTAGTTGAAACAACAGTGCTGTAGTTTGATATGTTTTGTTCATAATGCGCGGACCTAATATGAAATGAATGTTTATTTGTATATGAGACATCAGAATACGTGCTTAATCGTTATTTTGCAGAGAACGAAATATTTTTTATTGCTTTTTTTAACTGACTTCAGCGTTTATTTTAACTGACATTGAACAATAATTCGGAGAGAAGATATAATGAAGCCAGCGACGATGTGTACCATTTTTGGAGGCACCAAATTGCTTACCCATTTTGTTTATATTTCGGAATTGAATTTGAACATTTTGAAAAAGACCAAACCGAATTTCAAGGAACAAAGGCATAACTTTACCATAAATTTTTACAGACAGTATTCTCACGTTTATCAATAGATAATATAAAATAAAATAATGATAAAAATACCATTAGCAAAATGAAATTAAGTAATATTGCTATTTTTGTGCGGCAATTGCTTTGAAAACGATAAGAAAAAACTCATGAAAATGTTACCATGTATTGTGGCTTTTGAATGAGTTTTTTTTATAAACTCTGAAAAGTAATCAAATGAAAATAGCCTTGAAGACAATACACAAATGCTAAAAGAGAATCAATGACATTCATCCATTTCAAACTCAGACTTTTAAAATGTAGGCTGATTCTGAATTCAAAATTTGTAAGTGACAGTGCTCAAAATGTACAACATGTAGTCAAAACAATTTTCGTTTATTTGAAATTTCATCAAGCGTTGAAAAGCGTTTCTGTATTTATTAAATGCACGCATTCAAAATAATGAGAATTGAATAAACGATTGAGATTTTCAGTCCATCGAAATTTACTAGATTTTGAATGCGATCGGAATTTGTGAAAAGTTATCGCCGAAGCCAATTACAACAATTGAATTGAAATGTTCAAAAGGAATTTTCCATCGCAACATAGTAGCTTCTAGATCAGAATATGTTATTATTAATAAAGTAATATGTCGTTTTGAGTTATTCCATGGCTATAACCATACACTTCACTACATAATACATATTCAGACGAAATGCAGGAATCAAAATACACTTCGACAGATTCAATGTATATTAGGTTGGGTCAATTTTTTTGCATCAAAGGCTTTTCACGATTTTGGTTCTATGGGTCATAAAAATTATTTTTGCCCAAGGAACCATAGGTCTAAAATGAATTTCGAGTCAGCCAATTTTTCTATGTCGACATTTTCCAAAATATTTAAAAATCAACTTTGATATTGCATTAAAAAGGCAAATGCCCTCCGAGACAATTTTCACAAAATACCCCATAGTCTCATTGTATTTGACTCCAAATTGGGGGATATTACTTCTTGTGAAAATTGTCTCGGAGGGCATCTGAAAAAAACATTTTCTAAAGGTTTTTTGGCATGCTGAAATCGAATTTTTGGGTTTCAGGAAAAAAAATTAAATCGGTAATGAGTTTTTTCGATTGTACATATTTGTGATTGATTTTGATTGCTTGAATCAATCATAAATATGTACAATCGATGGAAATTTTACTGATTTTACTGATTCAATTTTTGAAATGTTTTTTTATTTTAAATTACTCAAGTAAAATAAAGAACCTGAAGGAATCAAGCAAGTCAAGCGAAATATGGTTTAATATAATAATATAAAATAAAAGTGACAATTGGTGATGAAATATCACACTCATTTTATTCACGTAATCACGTGCATGTTGTTTTGAAATTGTTTTATTCTGGCCTTGCACGGAATTTCCTTGCATCATGAAATGTGTTTTCATTGCCAATGTTACAAAAAATGAAAAACACATTCATTCGTTCCCTTAACATTTATTGTATACACATAATTCAACAGGTTTTTTTATTTATTGAACATGAATGATGCATTAATGGGCAATTTATCTCTACATCAACCATTATACCGAGTGGAAAATCAAATTTAACTTATCAATAGCTAATCTTCTGACTTGATATTGGAATATTATAATTACTATTATATATACACGTACCAGTCGGTTTTGCGTATAGCGTCGGCTGATATTTTCTTACTGTGTATGGTCACTCATTAATCAATAATTATAAAACATCAATATCACCTCGGAACTGTCACTAAAGTGGGCCAAAGGTCGACTCTTACAGTGTAAAAAACTATTACATTATTTTTTTTCAATTACAAAATGTTCTTAAATTAAACGTGGTATACATTTTGAACTGTAAACACCACATGCCATGCTATTCCGTGTATCAGGCAATGACCTGAAATGAAAGAAAAAATCACGCAAACGCATTATTAGAACATTACATTTTCATTTCCACTTCCAATTCAAAATATAATTTACCTTTGTACATGATCAGCTTTGCAGCTGAAATGTCTCGATGCCAGACAGTCTTCAGAATGGGTCGATGTTGGTGTTCATCTCCGCATTTATCCTCATCGATTTCATTCGATTGACAAATCATACAAATTTCAAATGATTGTGATTGAAAATATCACACTTACTTCTTTGCCAGTCTGAATATTTCGTTTGATTGTCGCATTCCAAGTGCGCATGCCTGGATCTATGCCAAACTCATGAACGAATTCGCCATCCAAATATTTTTTTTTTGATGATTTCATCGGACACCAATTGATCGAGTTCGGTTTTTGGCACTTTATACAAAATCGACGCCGATACACCATCGCAAACCAAACGGTTGTAATCATGTAACGGTTTGTTCTTCAAAATGCGATAAATTTTTGGCATATCGAAAATCTCATTCCAGAAGTACTCTTTGTGCTCGTAGAATTCTGTTTCGTTGATTTGCCGGCCATCGATTTGAGGCAAAAGATTCAATTCAGCCATCATATATTTGAGACCTTTGGTGTCTATTTTGACTGCTTTTCGCTCGAACGAGTAACGTGGAATCACTGTCAGGTTTTTAATTTTTGGCACTGTAATGTTATTGTCTTGAGCTCAGTAATTGAAATCGTTGATTTGCTCTTGCATGTACAACCACATTGGAAGTGATTCGAACCAATACTTTTTGTCCTATTCTTTTACGTTGTCATCGGCTGGTCCATCAAATTCTCGAACCCAATTCAATAACAATCGTCGCATTTGTTGACGTTCAGCGTTGTTTCTGGTTGAATCGTATTGATTTTTTGCCCAATTCACAGCTTTTGTAACGTCGCAATTGTCGAATGTGAAACCAGTGGACATCCACACTTTCATCGTTAAAAACTCTTCCAAACGTTTTCCTAGACGCGTGTCGAGATTCGTAGTCACGTTGCGAGCAGAGCTGGGCACGAACAGTCTGTCGTTCGTTCGTACATTGAAAAAATATGTGTTTGTGGTCGGTCGTTCGTTCGTTGAAATCATGAATGATCGGTCGGTCGTTCGTAAAAATTTAAATGTTCGTTGTGTTCGTTCGTATGTGCGATCGAACACCGAACACGTCCGGACGTTCGGCGCAAAAATTGTCAAGTCAAGTTTACAATTCTCTGTTAAATTTTTTGAAATTTACAATAAATAATAATAATTAAATAAATGAATTTTAATTTGAACACTAACAAAATATTAAATTTCCTTATTACGAATTTTAGGAAATTCCATATATTTGGTATAGTCTTTCCCTGAAATAACCTCACATTCTCAATGATGAAATAAATATAGATGAATTTCATAACATTTCGTAATAAAAAAAAATTATAATTTCAACACTTGAGAAAGAAAATTTATATGAATTAGAAATTATTTGAAAATTTATTTATTTGTATATTTTTTTCTTTAAATTTGTAAAATTATAAATTATTTAACAACCCTGATTTTATAATTTTGCTTCGAACGTACGGACGTCCGCAAGTGTTCGGAGTTCGATCGCACATACGAACGAACACAACGAACATTTCAATTTTTAC